ATAAATGTTCGCTAAATCGTACATAATAGCACGATTGCCTTTATACCGCAACTTTTATTATAATCACTCCTTTTACGACACATAACGGTCAAATAGACGAAAAACAACATACCGAAAACATAATCGCAATACCTTCAAATTTCCTGTTAATGCACAAAAATCTAAATGACAGAACAGTTACGATGTCGTCGAAGAAGAAATTGAAAGTAACCATTTATGTTGACATCGCGTGAGAAGAAAATGACAAAATAAAAGGAAAAGCGTGCAAATTTGCAAATAGAGCGAGATTTATCATCTAGACTCTATTGTTTATTTATTTACACCGACGTTATCATAGCTGAATTATCACACGAATGATACAAAGAAGTCGGAGTGCATGTTTATTTGATTAAATAGAATAACCCCCAGCGTTGCAGATAAAATGTTAAATAGGTCCATGTATATCGCTATGTTTAATATTTACAATAATAGCTGCAACGCTTGTTGTTTTTTCGATTTATCGAAGGAATATAGTAAAATGGAACATCTCGTCAACATAGATTTCATATAACGCTTGTAACCAACAAATAATTCTAAATAAGACTCATTTGTATGATTCTCTAAGGATAATCGATTAATCTTATAAAAGTAATTGACATGGTACATTAAAGATCTCTGATTACATTTCTCATCTATTCTTCATCTTCTGCGTAGGTAATTGTAAAATAATAAAAAATGATAGATAATGGTATACAAATATTACCAATGACAGAAATGATTGATTAAAGAATCGGTTGTCTACTTAACAGTAACTCGTAATGTAAAGTGTAGGCGAACGTACTTCTGCTTAAAATTATACGTAATTAAAAAACTGTTACACATACGTAATTAACGACGTGTGAAATACACACGTTCTTCCATTTCAATGATACGTAACACGTGATGATCCTTATCGTTTTACATATCATGTAATCGATTACGTTTAGTTACACCACGATGTCGTAACAAGAATTTATGTGCTTAAGTGTCTATTAACTATCTAAATATTCAAAATTAAATATGTCATGTACGTGATTTTGATAATCGTGCAATCTAGACTGAATCAGAATACCAAGAAATTTATTACATGAGAAACATAATTCTCCTCTGATTGTTCATTTTTCTTTATTTCCCTTATATCTGAAAATTATTTTCCTCGAGAAATTTTGCACCTGATGTTTAAATAGATAAATTACGAAAAAAGAATTAACAATTATTTACACTTTCAATCCTCTCAGAATAAAACGTATTTATGTAGAAGAGATACGACAGGCAAGACTCATTGCAGTGCTAATAAAATTTCAAGATATTCTATATAGTTTTTTATTTATATTATTTATATTTATCTATATTGTATTATATATCCTGAAATTTATGTTATATTATATATATGAAAAAACGACAGTAAAAATGGAAAATATCAAGTTCTAGTGTTTCTCAAAAAACGGAAATTTATTTTTCAGTATGCAATGTCGCAACTTTATATTTTCTCATTATATTAAAATGAAGCATTCTATTCCACGTTTCATTCCGCATCATTTTCAACTTTCACTTACAATTTTAAGTAATACACGACACATTAAACTGTAAAAAAATGAAAAGTACGTTATACACAATATAATTTCTTACAACTACGGTAAACTTCAGGAAAATTTTTATTCGAATTTTACCCAAAATTCGTTAAAATTGACATTCTCCTTTCATCCCGTGTACACTTCACACACGTACCTAATATATTCATAAAAGATTTCTACAAGTTTTGAATACGTTCGCGAGCAACTGTATAATACCAGCTGTTATATTTTCATTATAACTAGTTTTTGTCATTTTTTAATTATATAATTGCTAGCCTTTATTATGCGAAATGAGGTAGAAAATGATATCAAAGAACACCATAATTTCGAAGCAGACATAAGGTCAGAATGATGGCACTCGAGCACCGAAGCTCGATCGCAAAATCACTCGGTTCCTAATGTTACCAGATTTCATGTAAAATGGCTATTTTAAGCGCGGCCGCTAATGTTTTTTCCGCGGCCAATGCGCTCGAAAAAACAAACATTGAAGTAGGACAAGGAGCGATTAGGTAACGCAGAAAGCAGATCGACGTCGACGCGCGAGAGTAACCTACGTCACGACGCCTCTCGACTGCCTTCTCTGATAATCGTCGTCTCCAGATTAGAACGCAATGACTTTACACTTTTCTCAAGACACGTTACATGCGAATCTTGAAAAAACGATTCCGTGTTACGTCATCCATTACGTTTGCGTTCGTTCGACGACATATACACATAATACGAGGCGTACCCATAGAGCAAGTTCCGTTAACAAATATATTACTGTCGCGACGCTGCAATCGCGAATAATCCTCAGACTGTAAAGATGGATATTCTACGCGCGAACAATTTCGACCGAGTTGAGGATTTCTCAAAGTCCCGAAGTTGATCGTCGTTTGATTGGTCACTCGAATAATAGTGCGAAAGTCGAATATAATGGAGCCACAGATGTTAACTTCGATCCATTGTCTGTAAAAGGTCGAAGACCTGTCCTAGATCCATGTGAAACTTCAAAGCCAGACGATCCTATCGGATTCATAAGAAACATCTTCTGAATCCATGCGCGAATCAAAAGCATCGAGCCGTGTTAGGAATTTCGAATTATCGATGGGCTCCGATCTCCGAGTCTACTTGATGACGAGAATGACATAGCTTGATAGATATCCACGTTATTCTTCCTTCCCTGCAAAAGAAAAACGAAAGGAAGAAAAGAAGAAGAAATGACGGAGCACGAATTTTAGCGCGATATTTCTTCTGGTATTTTATTGTAATTGGCGTTATCGAATTTCGTTGAATTTAATATTACAATTACGAGAAGGAAATTCTAAATGAATTTATTTGTTTAATATATTTTTCGTCGCTATTTCTAGTCTGGTTCTCTAAAGGTTCCAAAATTATCCAAAGTTCGAAGAAATTAAAATAAAGGGCGTGAAGCAATTACTAGATAAACATCTAAGTAGCAGAATTTAAACGAGAGGTTCGTCTTGAAAAGGCTAATGAAATTAAATTCCCAACTATCCAATGTAAGTTTAATCGAATTTAAGTCGCGTTAATTACCAATAATTAAACCACAGGTGTGGTCTAGTGTTGAATATAATGGAGGTTTAATCAACTCGACTGCTACGTGGAATAATTGCTTTCAAGGATACGTGTCCTCGAAACGAGACTCGTGTTCCAATAATGTGTCGTCGTGCCAAATTCGAGATTCTCACGCGTTTTAATGAAATCGACGCGTTGGTGTTACGTCGACTACTTGCTCTATGGATATAAATTGGGGAGTTCATTTAAAGTATCTGCTTTCGTTTATTTTTATAACACTTTTTGCCATGCAAGTGCTCGATGTTGTGAAACAGTAGAAGATAGCAAGGAAGAAATATTCATAGAAAAACAGCGTGATCATTATTTGAAGCAATAAATTATTCGATGCATATAGATACGCATCGATGATATATGATTCATATAGATATTTATGAGGATTCGTGATTTTATAAATTGACTAGACAACTCTATAGATTGAAAAATAGAAAATGCAACGACATTGTAAACTTATTCTTTAATTAGAAATTATTCTTTAAAATTCTCATTGAAATTTACTATTATTTACACGGAGTGAAACAGTAATAATACGTTTCTGGACAACGGAATTGAAAAATCCACAAAAGCGAAGGGACGAATTGAAGAAACGAAACTTGTGCAGATCTTCGTTTCACTTCCAACTTTCACTTTGTTTCATCTTCGAAATATCTTTTACATTTTTGCCCGTACAACGTACATATTTGCAACTTTAGCTCTCCATTAAATGCCCGAAAATTCGCACTTTGCTTTGAAAAACTTCAGTTCTCCGTCGATTCTTTTTCCCTATGCCTCCACGATGAATAAAATTTAGATCGAGATCAGTCATTCGCGCGTATTTCCCTCGAGGCGTTATTAAAGAAAAGTAGAAAAGCTTTTTTTAATAGCTTTTTAAATACAAACACGGAATATTTGTGGTCTCCGGTATCGCGCGTTCTTCGATAAATAAGTATTTAATAAGTAAATAATAAAATAAATATTTCATTTTCCATGCGATGCTCTGATTTATTTATCGATGAATTGGTAGGAGATAAAATTTTCGTGAAAGAAAAAAACATCGATGCATCGATAAAACGTGCATTCAATGGAAACCGATATCGCGTGTATGAATAATCACGACCAGATGCAAGGCAATAAATGATCGCTTCGCGGTTTCATCATGACAAATAAGAGCTTTCGTTCAACGATATTTACAATTTACTCTTATATTAGAGAATATTACACGCGTCGAATGACACATATCAAACAGATATCGGAATCTATACAATATGTGACATTCGTAAATTATCACTTCTGCGAACACTTTATTCAGATATTCCGTTATCCATTTTCTTGGGCGTAACGGTGAAACGAAAAATGCCAAAGATACGAAAGCAACTGTAACAAATTTATTATGCTATAAGACGAGGTTATCATGCTGCAAAACAAGAATAGGTTTATCATCAATCATCAACGTAATCATTGCTTGTTAATATCCCATTTCAATAAAGAAATTAATAAAAGATTGAATTTATTACTCAAGGAAGCTGATTTTAATTTTGCTCCTTATCATACGCGTTAATACTCATCCATCATACTTTCACGTATCTTGGCATTTTTTCCAAGTTAACCACGTATAACATTTCAACGGCGTAAAATTAAAGACGACGCTAGAGCTTACTCTTTGTCGAATAAGGCAAATTATATATGCATCGAATGAATAAATATTCATATCTTTGCTAATTACAACAGGTGTACCGACACATTTAAAAAAGAAACGACTAGCTGAATAACGCTATTATGAACAACTCTGTAAAACGATGTTCTTTTGAACGCCGTGAGGACGCAAAAGAAGATGAACAATTCGATCGATTGCAGGGTGAAGGAACGAAAGAAGAGAGAGAGGAAAATTTCGAGAAACTGGGAAGTTACGTACGGGAGACTTACCAATCGTAAGGAAGCTTACAATCAGCGGATTTGCTTGGAATGCTGAAAAACAATATTTATATCGGGCAAAACGTGGGCAAGAGACTGTTCGACGAAGATACTCACTCGTGCGAAATATTATTCGAACGAGGGCCTACGTGATTCCGTGTACGTGCTCGTCGATTCGTAGGAAGGTGTAAGGTCAGTTTCCAGCGATCTCCATCTCCCACTTCTTCTTTTCGGATCGCGCTCTCAGAATGAAAGTGGCGACTAAAAGACGCAAAAATAGTCCACGTTGTTTTATTTATAGGCTGTGAAACCTGTAGACTGGCAGAGACACCGATCGACGGCCTACGTTGCCTCTCTTCTGCCGAAGAATCGAGCGAATGACGAGAATCGAAAAGAAGGACGGTTTTATTCGATTAACGCGTTACCCGATATCGAAACTACTAATTTCTAACTAATTACGTGTTAGCGTTAAATTAGACTGCGCATTTTTATGCAGATACATAGATTCTGTATATCGAGTTATCACGATTTGCATATTTCTTTCTAAATCGAGTTTTATCTGCGGCAATGTATGATTCATGAATGTGATTCACGATACCTTGGTATAATAATCGTCGTGCAATCGGCTTATCAGTTAATATCAAATATAACCGTTTATAATCTGAATCTATATTCATAGTACCTTGAGCAATTGTACACAACGGTAAGAATCAGATAAGAATGAATTCTACACAGTGATTTATGTCACTGAAACAAGAAATAGGAGAAGAGTTTAATCATATTCGGAAGAAAAATCTTGGTCACGGATGCAGTATCGAAGATTTCAAAGATTCTGAGGCATAGACACGTCTGTGAAAGGGCCGGAAAAAATCAGATTTAAATGTGTACATTTCAAATACGCTTTGTGACGATCTCTTTCAATCTATACGTTCGTTTGGTCAGATAAACGATAGCAATTTACGGCAGAGAACCTTGAAAAACTATCGTTGATTCTTGCAACGAAAATTGTGAGAACTAAATGTCGTTACGTAAGAACATAATAATTCGTATTTCGTAAATATAAGTATAATATGCATGTATTATGTGCGCATATGCATTCTGCATCATGTGGCGTATATCCTTACATAATATGGTATATTTTCTACACATAAGTTGAATATTCGAACACGCTTTAGCCGCATAAAAATCCGCAGTCTATTAATAACGCTTACATAGTTCTTACAATAACTATATGAATAATTTTAATTAATGTGCTGTGTATATCTTTTATTTTTTTCCTCTCCTTTAAAGAAGCAATACTTATCTCTTGTTTAAGTATGCAAAATAATATTTTACTTATCGTTGTTAACGTTCATCTTGTGATTGCATTTTCCCTGTTGACAATCTATGCCTCGTGGAGTGATTTAAGGAAAATCATTATATACCGCATCTAAAGCTTGCCAGTGGACTTTGAACTTTTTTGGATATCCCGAGTTACGGTTACAATCTGTTCGAGACTTTTGCAATTACTAATTATGTGAATTACTTTAGAACGATACGCAAAAGTATTGGGATGTTTATCGTAGAAAAACTTTTAATACAAACAACCTTATCTTACCGCATTGTAGAACATTGGTACATTATTATACTTTTGCTGACGTATTCTTCCCATTTATTACTTCGATCGATCGATACTTTAGTCAAGCGTCTAAAACCCTAGGTAAAGTTTTAAATCGTCATCGACGTGAACATTATTAAAACTAGTTATCTGAGTATTTTCGTTACTAAATTAAATTCGTATCTAGATGAAAGAAATGTTAATCGCGAGAAGTGAACTAACAAATCATTAAAATGAGATCCTTTAAATTGTAGAAAATGAAAAAGAGGATCAAAAGGCAGAAGAAAGCAAACATCGGTTACGTCGTCTCGTTACGCGAAGTATATTTCCAGAATATCATTAAAACACGGGACGAAAGAATTAAGCGCTGTGATAATGAATGAGATTGTTTTCGGATGAAGAAACTTGCTTACAATTAAGAAAAGGAAAATCAGCCAAAATTAATCTCTAACGGAGAGGTAGCGCGTAAAACATTAATTAAAGCTATGGAACAAGTGATTCAGTCGCGTTTCTCTGAGCTTGAAAAATAGCGTTTCTTCAATTTATTCAAATTATTCGTGTCGCTTCCTATTCGCTGCGAAGGATCTTGCTGAAAGATCCTAAAAGATTAAAAAGGCGACGCAAACGGCGCTGTAATGCATTTACAGGACCATATAATTTCTTGCAATTATTATTTAAGTATTAAGTTGTTCCAAAGGTTTCTTTCGTTTCATAAGGAAACAACAGATGTACAACATCTTTTGTTTTATATTATTTTATTAAATTATGTATAATCATAATAACGGAAATAGAAGAAAATGAATCACACATAATTCAATAAAATAATATGAAACAAAAAATGTTGTTCATTTGTTATTTCCTTATAAAACAAAAGAAACTTTTGGGATATTCTAATACTTGTGCAAGTTGGGAACAAGACCGAAAATCTATACAGGGTGTTTCGTAACAAGTGTGATTCGTTTCGGTAGTGGACAGATGACATAAGGCCAATGAAAAGTCTTCGTACGAACCTATGTCCTATCTGACCTTGTTTTAGAATCATGGTCACTTTTGTATTACAATAATCCGCGACAGTTTATCATCGTAGAGGGTGTTCGAAATGACCACCCACGGTTCACACGCAAGATTGCAGTTATCGTGTCAGAGAATTTCGCAGTCTTTCAAAAATTCCAGGTGTATGTCGAATAATACAAACCGACGATAGCCACTTCGAACACTTTCTACGAAGATAAGCAGTTGCGAATTAATGATACAGAAAAATGGCTATAAATTTCGTAACAAGGTCAGACAGGGATACCCATGCATGTCCGTATGAACTTTCTTCGTTGTTTCCACGTCTCCTGTCTGCGCCTGAAATCGGCTGTCCATGTTATGAAACACCCTGTACAAATATACAGCACAATACAAATGAAACGCAATACGTACGTAGTAGTTTTCTATCGCAAATGTTAAAATACTTTCGTGACCCAGAGTACATAGCACCAGCAGTAGCATGCATAAAACAATATCTCACTTTGTCTCGACATTTTCCTTTGTCCCGCTTTTTCCTAATCGTTAAAATTACGTACCAACGATGCAAGGTGCCTGTATGCCGCAGTGAAATGAGCGTGTAGAGTCAGCATGGAAAAGTACATGATATCCACCTTCCGTTATTTCCTCGAATTTTATTTCCATTTAGGAATAAAATTATAATACTTTCTACTTAAACCATCGTGGAATATTGTTGAGTCTCGAGAGTTGCTTTGAGAATCCGGGATGAAACGATAGTGAAGAAGAAAATGTATCGAGGGTGCGGCGAAATAACACGTACAAACGGGCACGAGGTGACTCCTTGTGAAAAAATAAGAACAAAATAAAATGAAATAAAATTTGTTCGTTTAAGGTTTAGTTTTTGAGAAAATTGAGTTTGAAAATTTATCAATTATGAATATTATCGTGCTGCTGGATTTTGTCGGCAAAAATTCGTTTTAGATAAATTTAGATGAATTTTTTAAAAAACTTATAATTCTTCTCCTGTTTTTCTTTTTTTTTTTTTAATGCCATGGCGTGTGCCTTCTACCACTGGCGATGTCGCGTTAATTTGAATTCGAATTCTTTCGAGTTTTACAGTAGTTATGGGAAATTAAAATGCACAACGTACTTTCCACGTTTTACAGTTTAATGTGTGTTTAATGTATTACTTAAGACTGTAAGTAAAAATGGAAAGAACAATGCGAAATAGAATAATGAAAAAAACGTTTTATTTCGATATAATACGTACGAGAAAGTATGAAGTTGTGAGGTTCTATGTAAAAAAATAAATACTCGATTCCCTAGAAAATGCTAAAGCTCGATATTTTCCCTTCTTCTCCCAGATCCTTCGTATGATACGACAGAAAACATTCCAAATTTCATTAAACGTCGCTTGTCTCATCTTGAGTCTCCTTCGCCCTAAAATCCTCTTAATTCGTTTAGAAACGAATAAGTCTCGCGATTAATCCCTGGAAGATTGCGATTCAGTATAAATATTTTGGGAAAGCAACCCCGGCGAGTGTCGTCATCTGCTGGTTATCAACCGGTGTAGCCAGCCAGGATCGTTCGACAAACGTCGACAAAGCCAGTCTCGACTCTTCCTTCGTTGCGGAACGTTGTCGATCGTAAAACACGCGAGCACGCGAAGATCCGCCTCGAATATCGCGAAACAGATCGCAAATGAGTTTGCAAATATACATACTCTAACACGTTGTCAGTAGTTGCATGTTCAATCTAATTAGATTTTTTTGTTTCTTTTGGTGTCGGCAAAAGCATATTGGGACGAAGATGAAAGTTTAATGAATGTTCTTCAGGTTCTTCCCTTCCTTCAGATGGATACGTTTATTCGCAGTTCCCTTTAGGAATATATAATCGGTAGAATGAGTAGTTCTAAAGATATGCATACCTGGTTTGTCAATCCTTTCGTTTGATGTTTGTTGTTACTTTTAAGTGAATCCTTACGAGAGTAATTAATCGCGTTAACTCTATCATTCTCAAATGATTTAATAGCTGCGAACACTTTTACCCGTCATTTCTGTTTCTATTCTGTTATTCTATTTCTTTTCTTTTTTTTTTTTATCTATCACCGTTATCATTTCAATTTTAATCGTTCAAATACGAACAAAAGAACAAATCCATCTCCACGAATTAAACGAACAAAGAAGCACAGCCGTTTAAAAGAGAAATTGATATAAATTTGCATACGTGTTTTAACGACATGAATTTCGATCATCACGCGCGAAGAAAGTAAAACATTTACAGGCTCGATACGAAGCTTCTTTCTAGAGCATGGTCACTCGGCTGTACTATTTCCCCCGAGGACCTTCGTTCTGCCGATATAAATCGATCGGTCACTTAAGCATTCATGCAGTGCCTCCACATAACGGTCGTATCTTGTGCATTATAGATCGCACGTGCAAACGAAATGCAGAATTTCGATATTTGCTCGTGAGATCTACACGCGAGATACGCGAGCATTATATCCAGATATTTATTTACCATAGAATGTAGAAGTTATATCGTAATCTTCGTTCAAACGTTTCTCCATTCATTTGACTGCTAATGAACAATGGAATGTTTCGCGCAGAAGACAGAGGGTCCTGTAATATGGGTACAATGAATACAGAAATCAATGAAAATGAGATTAACAAAAGATTGAACAAGGCGAATTCCATCGAGGAATTCTACGCTGGTACCGGCGTCCTTGTCACCGGAGCGACAGGTTTCGTGGGGAAAGGTCTCCTGGAAAAATTGATGCGCGTTTGTCCGCGTGTCACCGTCATCTTCTTACTGATCCGCCCGAAAAGTAACCAAACGATAGAGCAACGATTTAAGAAGCTCATAAACGATCCCGTGCGTAGATTAGGTTCTCGTCGTCTACGAACGCCCTCACCAAACCGAACTCATCAACTCCGCGTCTTTCTTTTCTTCTTCAGATCTACGATGGCGTGAGAGCGAAATATCCCTCGGTTCTCGGCAGGGTACAGCCCGTAAGGGGTGACGTGAGCCTGCTGAATCTAGGTCTCTCGCCGGAAGACAGGAATCTGTTGCAGAAGAAGGTGAACATAGTGTTCCACATGGCTGCCACGGTAAGATTCAACGAGCCTCTGAGCGCGGCTGTCAATATGAATACGAAAGGCACTGCTCGTATCATCGAACTATGCAAGGAACTGAACCACGTAATCAGCATCGTCCACGTTAGCACAGCTTACAGCAACGCGAATCTACCTCAAATCGAGGAGAAAGTATACACGTAAGTACGAATGACGCGCGAATGTTGTTCCGTGGTTCGGTTTGCGATCGTGGCATGTTTTGCAGCACGAGTTTGGAACCTTCTACGGTGATCAACATGTGCGACAAACTAGATGTCGAATTGATCAACATGTTAGAGAAAAAGATCCTGGAAACTCATCCGAACACGTACACGTTTACGAAGAATCTAGCAGAGCAAATTGTAGCTAGCGACAGCAAAGGTTTGCCAGTTGCGATAGTACGGCCAAGTATAATCGGTGCCTCGCTGGAAGAACCGTGTCCTGGCTGGCTAGAGAATATCTTTGGAGTTACAAGTATTTTCCATAGATCTTAACGACAATAATTTATTTGATGCTCTTTGCATCTCGCATAAGTAGAGTTAATAAATTTGCCCTCTGCACGAGAGAAATTAGCTTTAACATTCCACACGTCGTTATTAAATATTTGAACGTATTCAAGATCATCGTTGTTATCGTGTACATATACGTATTTTTTTTCTTTTTTTTTTTTGCTGACAATTATAATTATCCTTTCTAAATACCTATTTATCGCTATATCTCCGATAGTCGAGAATCGCGAGTAACTTCTACAGAAATTTAATGTTACAGATATCTTTCTGCAAATCAGCAAAGGTTCTGCGAAAGCTATTTGGGGCAGGAAGGACGCGAGATTGGATTTAGTGCCTGTGGATTTCGTAGTCGACACGATAATGTGCGCCGCGTGGCACGTCACGCTACATCATCGCGATAATGAAGTTAAGGTTTACAACTGCACGAGTAACGCGTACCCTTTTAAGTAATGTTTATTGAGAATTCTTATCGACTAATGTGATTCTATTATCATCAGAGTATCCGAAAAATTTTAGTTCATTCGATTGACGCGAGCAAAGGTAAATTACAAAAGTTCATTTTCACTCACAATACCTCAATTTAGAAGACTAGAAAGGTAATTAAGATTATGTAATATTTCTTATTCTCAAGTTACTCTGATGGTAATAAACTGTATTTCAAATATAATTCGATCAATTCTATATGCATAAACGTTGCAATTTTCAAGATGGGGTCAGATGAAAGATGCCATGGTAAAATGTAGCATAGAAACGCCGCTGAACGGTACGCTATGGTACCCGGGTTGTCCGATGGTAGCTAACAGATATATTTACAACGCCCTCAACCTAATCCTGCATGTTCTGCCTGCGTTCGTCATAGACATCTTTTTAAGATTTCGCGGTAATAAGCCGATGTGAGTATTTTATTGTTTCTGCAACAACGAGAACAGTTTTTCTTTTTCTAGTAGTAATCTTTGCCCCTATCTATAATAATATTTAAAAATGGCGTTTCAGAATGATGAAAATTGTCAAATATTGCTACCAACTTGTAACAGTGACAGCGTATTTTACCATGCACGAATGGACCTTCCAAAGGGATAACATTACCGACATGGTAAAGAAAGTGAAAACGTTAAAAGACGGCAATGTCGTGAAACTAGACTTGCAGGATATGAATTGGGAGAAATATATCGCGACATATATGATGGGAATTAAAAAATTCATTCTGAAAGAAGATCTTGAATCTATGGATGCTGCCAGACAACGATTATCAAAGTGCGTATAGAATGTATCTACGTATTAAAAAATGGGAACTGATATAAATATTTGTATATTTTCATTTATTTCAGGTTGTACTGGATACATCAGACAACTCAAATATCCGCTATAAGCTTTTTGCTATGGATAATATTACGTGTTACGTACTGATCATTCGAACGTTATTCCTTCTACTTAAATGAAAAAAGAAGTAGATAAGATTTTATGAAAAAAGGAATCATTATCCGTTTCATTTATAATCAGGTCACTTCATTTATAGTATTGCATGTTTTGTCTATAAAATTTTAATAAGGATATATGTATTTATACGCATACACTTTGAAATTTGTAAACAATTCATACATAACAATTTCTATACTTAATGCTGTTTGTTGTACAATATTTGCGAATTCTTGTGTGTTATCTTTGTATACGCGTATCTTCGAAGATCCTTCCATTAAATTAAAACAAAAAATAAAATGTGCTGAAATATTTAATTATTAATTTGTTTCCAAAGATTCTACGTCATGCCTTTGTGTAACGCTAAACAACAAAACATAATTATATAGGGAAAAAATAATAATATGTACAACTAATATTTTGTATATTATATCTATTATGTATATTATGTATATTATAATATTATGTATATTATATCTATTATGCGAAATATAAACATTTTTCCGCATAATAATACAAATTTCTTTCATTCTCCATCAAACAAAAGCACGAGGAACTATTCGACGACAACAAAAATTTCCCGATGAAGAGTTTATTGAACTATAAACAACGATGATAAAAAATAAACATCTTTTAAAATAAAATCGTTCTAAATTAAAATCTTTCGAACAAATCATCATTTATCCTAAAAACTTACTTTGGTCTCTAAATTATTTGTTTGTAAACCTCGTAACTCTTTGACCAGTTTACATTAAAATATTTACATTATAAATTAAGAACCAACGCACTCGTGCGCACAACTTCACGCCGCTGTGGAATAGCGCGACATTGCATCGCTTGTATGCTTATGTGCCGAGCCTAAATTAATATGTTCTTTATCTTATACATAGTTGTATTGGTTTAACACCGGTAGCACAGGCCACGGCCACGGATACCACAGACCACAGTCTGGAATATAGAGGTTGGAAGCTCCCGTGGTGGGAGTAAAGCTCATGATATCGAGAGTTGTGCTTTACAGGTCTGCCGCTACCATGATGCGTCGATCTATTTCTTAGAATTTTACATATAGCGCCATCCTACGGTGAGAATAATAACTACATACACTGAAGGTAAAGAATATAAATTGAATTAAATGACTTCATAATCTTTCATAATTTATTTAAAATACTTATACAGTATTTCGTCCGATACAGAAAAATGTTATTTAATTAAATATTAATTATGTGAACCATCAAGAAGTATTATTATCTCGATTAAAAAAATACAATTTTTTAATCAAATATATTTTTAATACATTTATTGTATGTACATATTATATATATATATTATACGCATCTATTGGAAAATAAATTTGTTTTTAAGTTTTGTTTAATTCATTAAAAATGTTGTAAGTATTAATACTGTACCATGGTAATGCTTTTCGTTTTGCACGAAGATGCTCGTTCTTCACTACGACAACAGATAATTTTTTACTATATTCGCTCTAATTTGGCCAACAATGTGGCACGATATATGGCCATAGCGTATTGGATTGAAATTTATTGTTATCAAATAATTATGATTATAATATATGTATTACAATTGTACGGCGGGGAACCGTAACCACGCTTCAACCTGCTTATCAACTGAGGATATATAAGGTGGTTGGTAACTGGTGGTACAAGTGGAAAGAGGGTGATTCTAAATAAATAGAATAAATAGAAGAATAAAAATTTTTTCTTTTTTCGCGTAGAATCACTCCCTTTCCGCTTGTACCACCAGTTACCAACCACCCTGTATACATGGATTTACCGACATAACATATTGATATTGCAGGTTGTAGACACGAGATAACGCTACACAACGAATCCTAATAAATGGATCAAGGCGCCATACCGCGGACAAGTGGGCCAACATTGTCCGGTCATTAAGAGTTTGGCTTCGCTTACCCTTTACCGCGGTAGTTACTAGACTTTTGTATATGATAACAACGAGTATATACCGGTATCAGTACATTTTTATCGATGATTGAAATCAGCCGGAGGTGTAAACAGTGTTATATGAATTCGTATTGTAACTTTAGCAATGTTAATCGCATGCAGAATCTTTATCAATATAATGAGCACATGGAAATTATTACAGCGTCGGTGTTACGATCTACTTTCATATAAATATTCGCTGTTAGTGATATTGACAGCATTTACTTGCATATTTATCGGCATTGTTCATTTTGGAGAGGTTAGGAATTTCATTTTCCCCATTGTTTTTCTATCTATCTATTTTGTTGATTATTAAAAATTTATGTTTTATTGTTATTCGTAGAATATATTTTATTAATTAATTAAGTGTGAGATAATATTTTAATGTAAATATCAAATTTGCATGTAAATTTCGAGTTACTGAATTTCTTAAATTCAAAATAAAAATTTGTATTCTAATTTAGTATTAACGTTTCAGATGTGGATAACATGGAGTAAAGAGAAATACGAAGCAGTGTTCCATTCTTTCAATGACAATATATTAGGTATCTCTTTCCAAAAAAAATTATGCCAACATGTTCCAATAGATGTTGTATATACGTGGGTCAATGGGTCAGATCCAGTCTTCTTAAAAAATCTTAAAGAGCATATTCCTATAATGGATGTTAACACAGCTGCTTCCAGATTTAGTGATAAAGATGAATTAAGATATTCATTACGTTCGTTGGAAATGTATGCACCCTGGGTGAGACACGTGTATATTGTTACAAATGGTCAAATACCGAGTTGGTTAGATATGGATAATCCTAAAGTTACACTTATTACTCATGAAGATATATTTTTAAATAAAAGTGATCTTCCAACATTTTCTAGTCCAGCTATTGAAAGTCATATTCATAGGTAGTATCAAATTCATTATACAATAGCAATCATAACAGTTTATATTATCTAGTTAATAGCTATTTGTAATCTTCTTAACAATGTAATTTTTTATTTTTGCAGAATTCCTGGAATTTCAGATAAATTTTTATATTTTAATGATGATGTAATGCTAGGAGCAGAAGTGTGGCCAGAAGATTTTATTACACAAGCAAGTGGCCAAAAAGTGTATCTTGCATGGTGGGTTCCTGATTGTTCAGATGTTTGTCCTTGGGCCTGGGTGGGTGATGGATCATGTGATCCTGCTTGTAATACAACATTATGTGAATTTGATGGTAGCACTCATTGTTTATATTTGTTTTGAAATAACAACTATAAAAAAATTTAATGACCTAACAATATGTGTAAACTTAAACTAGTATCATTAATCTTTTTTACAGGAGGAGATTGCGATAGCACACCAGTTCCTACTGACAGTGAAGCTCTCGAGGAAGAGGGAGACTATCCACACAAACTTTTACAAGATCCTCTAGAAGATACTAACTATGGATTAAAATTTTTAAATATCTTTAGAAACAGAAGTATAAGTACTATGTGGAATGATACACAATTGTCTATTCAACAAACATTCCCAAATACAGTCACAAATCTAAAGATGCATGTAAATAAATCTTATAATTTCAAAAATAATAATTACGCGAGTTCCATTGAAAGATATTTTAATGAACAATTGAATGAAAATGATCAAACCGTACCAACCCAAAAATCGATGATATCAAAAATGATAAATAAGATAAGACATCAAACATTGAACGTTACTGAGAGACGTCTGCAATTGAAACGTTATTTAAATGATGATATCATGAACTTACCACAAGTTAGTAGTACCACAAAAGCTAATCATAAATCGACTCATTCTGATCAATGGAAACTTCGAACAAGACAACTTGATACATATGCCGAATCTTTGCTATATGTGAATAGAATATATAATATGGCATATGGTTTCGAACGTAGAAGAGTACCCGCTCATATGCCCCATCTAATAGATAAATGGATCGTTGCTGATATGCAACGAAAATTCGAGCACGAATTTAGAAAAACATCTAGCCATAAAGTTAGAAACTCTGAAGATATGCAATTTGCTTTCTCTTACTTTTACTTTCTAGCTAGTGAGAAACGGAAAGTACCAATTGAAGAAATATTTGATACATTTGACACGGATAAATCAGGGTAGTTATACTATTTTAAAATAGTAGTAATAGAAAAAGAAAGAAAATAACAGAAGTATTATTCAAAATAGTAATTCTGTTTCAGCACTTGGTCAGATAGAGAAATTAGGACTCTTTTATCTAGACTTTATCCACTTCCTCTTGATTATAGTCTAGTCGTTGAATTTGAAAATGCAATAACGAATTGTTCAAATCATATAAAAGTTACTAAAGTATTAAATCCACCACCTGGTGAAAGATATTTGGATTCATCTCTTGTGAGCAAACACTTTGTAAACTTTAAATAATACTTAAATCTAAAAAGAAAATCTTCTATTTATAATAATAATTTATATTTTTATAGCCGATTGTAACTAAGGAATTGATAGCAAAATGCGAAACGGTTTCACGAAAAATTAAAGACAAATTCAGTCAAGAAAAGCTTTACCCACACGAAATAATTAAAGCTGGAAAAAATGAAATATTCGAAATGTTAACAAGCAACGTGTCTTTAACAGTACAACTTTTAGACGAGATACGTAGAGATCCAAAGTAAGTAGTTGTAATCATTTTTATATTGTTAGGATTTAACGATAAATAGAATAGAATAATTTTACTTTTATTTTAGAAAATTTATTTGCTTAAATGACGATATGGATCCCCTTCGACGTTCTGAGAACGAAATAGTTCGGGCATTATTGAACGATTTTTATCGCTCACTCTATCCATTACGCAGTACTTTTGAATTGCCTTTGCAATATCGAAATCTTTTCACTCATCGACATAAGCTCCTTGAGTGGAGATCTAATCGAACAAGGGCCAGAAATTTGTTGTTATGCCTTATCCTTTTATTACTTCTTACGACTTTCTATCACTTATTTTATCATCAAGTGCGTCGATTATTCAGAATACGAGCACTACCCATATTACTCGTTTAAGTCTAAGGTACAAATGCAAAAATAGGATAAATATATTGATATCTTTTAAACAGAGCAACATTTTCTAAATATTTTATGTGATATAGGATTGTGTTTTATACAGATAATTCCCATACAAATTTGTACTATTTTAGCAGATAATTCATCTATTTTATTGTGTGTTTTACATCTACAAGTCCATCCACAATTTAGAAGTGATATTTGAAGAAACAAAATACAAATCTCTTTGTTTGTTTTAAAAAATTCATTTAGAAGGTAACATTCGTTGCTAAGAATCGATACTTTATAAGGTATAATGTATAATAAGGTATGAACAAATAGATATTTAGTGTCGCGTTAAAATTAAGTAAAACGTTCCTGTGATATTGATAAAGTACTGATTGTCTTTGTTTGTTTCTCTCTTAACAAAATGGAAGATTAGATCTCATAAATTTTTCTCCAAGATGAGTGTATCATGATATGTATATTCACTTTACACTGAGATTTGAGAAGTTATATAAGATTTAAAAAATGTATAACACTTTTAAAGTGTTATTAGTTTATAGTATTTTAATATCTCTCTATTCTAATGTGTAGTACAATTTTTTACTAGAAAATTACCCGGTTAATAATTGTTGAAGATATGAAATGTACCAAATTTGTACTTACTGTTAATAGAATATTGGTATTATTATTGAAGTAGAATGCCATTAAACTGAATATCTTTTTAATTTCGCAGTTTGTACTTATTTTATTTCCAGAAAACCGTGTATGTACATAATTTTATTCAAATAAAGTTATTCGTTATTTCTTACTAGTTGTATATTATTTATACACAACTCAGTATATAGAGGGTTAAAGGTATTATAAATTATAATATTATATATTACTCTATAATAGTACTTTATATATATATCTTTTTAATTTCTTTTTGTTTCAGTAAGGAGAAGTAAGATTTCATAATTTCATTTCATTTGTTTCATTTTGTTACTTCACTCGTATCGTTTCTAAACATCTAACATTTCTCGTTTCCTCGATAAAATTTTAGTCGAGTAGGTATAACATGTGATTTATACACACACGCTTTCGAAGTCGTAATAAATTCATACAACACAATTTCTGTATTCCTTGCTTTTTATTGCACAATAGCATGTATGGATGTTTTGTGTACTTTCGTGTAAACACAAGCGTCCTAAAATCGAAGCATAAAAGATATAAATCTAAAATTTGTTTTAAATAAAGCTACTTTCGAATATTTCTAATTGTTTCCACTCGCTAGTGCCATGTACTTAGTACTTAGAAAACTTTCGCAGATTCATGTCACAATCATATTGCGTCTTGTCATGACTCCGATATCTCTTGTTTGTCTAAAGGGGGACAATTCATATGGCGGAGATTTCGCGGGCCAACCATGCCTTCTTGTACTCTTGCGCATTCGCTCAACCATATTGCGACACTAGCTACCTCTTCAGCTGATAGACGAGATCCAATACCTAATATCGAATTATAACGGAAATCTTATGAAAATTAATGTAATGATAATCATAGGAAAGAACTGGTTTTGTAAAGAACCGCAACATAAAAGTATCAGATAATTTTGCAAGAAACTTGAGATTTACAAAGAATCATAAACGTAACACAAATAAACTCGAACAATTTTACAACCCGGCTTGTATATATGTATGTATATCGGTTTGTAATAGAATTAAAGATCCTTTGTTATCTCACCAGGAACATTCGGATAGTACTTGAGCAATTTTGCGTCTATAACCTTCTTCTTCTTTTTCCTTTCAACCCTATCTTCCGTATTTCGTATGCTCTGTTTCTCGCTATAACTTTCTGCCGAAGTACTACTAGTCACACTTTTTGCAGATGCGTTTTCACCTTTCAACTTTTGTCCATTAGATCCCGATCTCTTGCTTGACTCGACATTGCTAACGGATATCTCGTTAGGTTCTATCTGTGAAGTTTCTTTGCTAGAGAAATCTTGTTTCGCCTCATCTTCAACCATCTTCTTGTGGCTAGCGCAACTTTCGCTCAATTGCGGCGTTATATCAGCTGTAGAAGAATATTTTTGTAAATTATGTAACAAATGTGCGAACGGAATAATTTCTGGTAAGAATGTACTTCTCGAAGAGTCTATGTCCTTTCTTGATACCAATTCTAAGTCTAAATTTGCGTCAGCTTCCGTGTCTTGGCTCGTAGCTGAACAAACCCGATCTATAGAATATTTTCTTTTGCTCGATGCTTGATTTTCTGAATATTCAGAATCGTATATAATGAATTCTGTCGGATCGTCGTCGCCAGGATCTCTTTCGCTCCCGTCACAACAAAGTCCAGCTAAATATCTGGAAAAGTGTTATTATTGATAAATTAATTTTCTCACATTTAATAAAATATACATTGAATTTGAACGCTAAACATTGTAGAATTTGTTCTATTATTGTGATATATAAAACCCTATAGATTTCAAGATCTATATATATATATACATACATATAAGTACAATATATGTATATCCTTCATAAATTCCTATATGTATAATCCTATAAATATCCTATGAATATCATTCGCATCTTTCTCAACGCCCTATATAAGTACATCCTTTTTCCCTTCAGTTGTGTGTTTTATAGCTGCACGGTTTATTACCTATATCAATATGTGTTATACATTTTGTAAGTTCTGTATATACCCATATATCTCCAGAAAAAATGTAACTGGAACCATAGCAGATCCGCCATCAGGTTCGTGAGTGAATAACTCGCAAATCATAGTCATTGTTTCAAAGAGGCTGGAACCTAAAAGTCCAACAGCGATTGCCAAGAATTTTTTCACTTGGCATTTTCGTCGAAATTTCCCGATCATCAAGATCAAATTTAGATCCCGACGATCCAAACACAAGCAGTCCCATAGCCTTAGTATCGTTTCCACAGGCAACGTTTTATTGTAATCTATTCAAGAAATATTATTTTTCAATATCGGTAAAAGATGCTTATCTAAATACACAGTTTAAAAACTTCTCCACCCAGATCACACAGTTCTACTTTAGAAAAATAATAACTAAGGGTTACTTTATATTATATATTTTGTTTAATATACCTAAGAAATATCTAAATATTTGATATTTATAATTGATAATTCTACGTCCAGTTAATAAGTAATTATATTTAATATAATTATTTGATTCATTAGCATCAATAATTAATAATTAGAATAATTGTTTGTATTAGTGATTAGTATGAATACAAAACACAGACCAAGAAGAACCGGTGGTATTAAATATTAAATATGGATAATCGATCAAAAATAACATATTCAAACAGTTAATAAAATATTCTATGTTGCCCCAACAATTCATATACCTATACATATGTATTCGAATAATTATTATTGATACCTCCAAATTGACGAAGTAAAATCCTCAGAAAACCGAGAGTCAAACCAGAAACGGTATTCGGTGGTGGATACTCCAATCTTAATTTCGTCGGTGGTTCCTCACCATTGGCCAACGCTCGAAAATACGAGCTAGACCATCGAAGTAAATCGTACGGTTGCGTTCGAATAGCCGCCTTGCAGAATTCCTTCAGAATTAATGGCAAACTCGGTGGCACGATAACTTCATGTTCTGAAACTGATTGTTCTGCAACAGACATATTTTTCAATTTTTCAAAGTTCAACAAATTATTCGTATATTAAGTACTGTAACTTTTGAATAAGGAACGAAAGTAAAATCTTAAGGGGGAATGCTAGTTGATACGAAGTGAAACTATGATTAACTTGAATATCGTAGTACATTACGTCAAGTATACTGTTTGTTGCCATTTCGCGGGGTTTCGTCGTCTAGGAAACAACATCGATGAAAAGTGATCAATTCGTGGTAGGAATAGTGTCGCTCACCTTCACTTGCATTCTTTTTAACCCACTTGTATTCTTTCGGTCATCTTCAATCCAATTGTAGTTTTCTAATATTAAGAAATATTTCAAAATAGATATGAAAGAATTGCTATTGATGTGTATCATTTTTTCGTTTAATTTTATATTAAATATTTTCTTGAAATATTAATAAACGTTTTCGTTTGCTAAAGTACGAGAAAGATTAAAATATAAACATTCGATAGTCACGATTAGATTAAATATATGTAACTCGTTAAGAACACCGACGAGATACGTTAAGAAGAATCGATCGATAAAGAAGTTCCCTTTTTATTATTGTTATCATTCGTCAAGTTGAAAAGCTTTATCCTCTGGTTTTACATATAATATTATCAATAATAAAATTAAATTATATATATATATGTTTTCGATATGAATAAATACCAAAATATTTATTAAAGTATATCATTTCGATTACTAATGTATAATAATATAACTAATATATTATGTATTTAATTTTATTATGTATAATATATTATGTATTTACATTTAAAATCGCACTTATTTAATCTTATTGCCTTAATTATAGGAAAAACATTACAATTTTTTACTTCAGAATTTCTATGAAATTACTGACTGCAAATGTGTTTTATTCAGATTTATGTACATGTGAATTATTAGTCATCATAAACGTAAAAGAGTTATTTCGAATACTTTGAGACGACATTTGTTATCCAGTGACAAAATTATTTACAGATATACATATGCTTGCATACAATATAACTCGTTTAAAATAAGTTCAAATATTCCCTCTGTTAATGTGACGTAAAAAACAGATGCTTATAGATGGCGTCATTTTCGTGATTTTGGAGGGACAACATTATTCAATATGGCAGCAATTGGTATTATGCGTTTGTGAACGTCACTGTGAAAAGACCGGGTCTAATGCACCAATTATCGTAATTAAATCAAGCGCCTACTTACATACACATTAAATTAACCGGATTCAAGTTATACATACAAGAAAATACATCTTTTCCAACAAAAAAGAGTAAAATGTCGAAACCAGATGAAAATGCAGACACAGGGGACACAGGAGACAATTCGAATGGATCTTCGGCCGAGACCACATCGTCTCGAGGTGGTGACTTCGAAACAAAACTTGAAACCGATCGTAGTAAACGATTCGATTATTTACTAAAGCAAACTGAAATATTCTCGCATTTTATGACAAATAATCAGAAGGACAAGGCTGGGAGCCCTTTAAAGATCAAAGCTGGGAGACCTAGAAAACAGCCAGAAACCCAAGTGAAATTCGATTCTGGTGACCATAGGCACCGTAAGACGGAACAAGAAGAAGATGAGGAATTGTTGGCTGAAAGTAACGCCAGTGTCGCGCCAACCACTCGTTTTGAATCATCTCCACACTACATTAAGTCTGGTGAGTTACGAGATTATCAAATACGAGGCTTAAATTGGATGATATCTCTGTATGAGCATGGTATCAATGGTATCTTGGCTGACGAGATGGGTTTGGGTAAAACTCTACAGACTATCTCATTACTGGGATATATGAAACACTTCAGAAACATTCCTGGTCCACACATAGTTATTGTTCCCAAGTCTACGTTGGCTAATTGGATGAATGAGTTTAAGAAATGGTGTCCGTCGTTGAGAGCAGTTTGTCTCATAGGAGATGCAGAAACTCGAAACACTTTCATTAGAGAGGTTATGATGCCTGGAGAATGGGATGTTTGTGTAACATCCTATGAGATGGTTATAAAGGAAAAATCAGTGTTTAAGAAGTTCAATTGGCGTTACATGGTAATTGATGAGGCTCACAGAATAAAGAACGAAAAGTCCAAGCTATCTGAGATTCTGAGGGAGTTTAAAACTGCTAATCGCCTTCTATTAACAGGAACACCTTTACAGAATAATCTTCATGAACTGTGGTCTTTGCTCAACTTTTTATTACCAGATGTGTTTAATAGTTCAGATGATTTTGATTCTTGGTTCAACACTAATAGTTTCTTAGGTGATAATTCATTAGTCGAGAGATTACACGCTGTCCTTAGACCATTCCTTTTGAGACGTTTAAAATCTGAGGTAGAAAAGGGACTGAAACCTAAAAAAGAAATTAAGGTCTACATTGGTCTCAGTAAAATGCAGAGAGAATGGTATACCAAGGTACTTATGAAGGACATAGATATAGTTAACGGTGCTGGTAAAATTGAGAAGATGAGATTGCAGAACATCTTGATGCAGCTGCGTAAATGTTGTAATCATCCATATTTATTTGATGGTGCAGAGCCTGGACCACCTTATACAACTGATGAGCATCTTGTTTATAATTGTGGTAAAATGGTTATCTTAGACAAACTATTGCCAAAATTGCAACAACAAGAATCGCGCGTTCTTATATTTAGTCAAATGACCAGAATGTTAGATATTTTAGAAGACTATTGTCATTGGAGAGGTTTTCAATATTGTCGTTTAGACGGTAACACAGCGCATGAGGATAGACAACGCCAGATCAACGAATACAATGCACCGGGAAGCGAGAAGTTCATTTTCATGCTGTCGACTCGTGCGGGTGGTTTAGGTATTAATTTAGCAACGGCAGACGTAGTAATTATTTATGATTCCGATTGGAATCCGCAAATGGACTTGCAGGCGATGGATCGAGCTCATCGTATTGGTCAACAGAAGCAAGTCCGTGTATTCAGGTTTATCACAGAAAATACCGTAGAAGAAAAAATCGTAGAACGTGCGGAAGTTAAATTGCGTTTAGATAAGCTAGTTATTCAACAGGGGCGATTAGTGGACGCGAAGCAGACAGCATTGAACAAGGACGAAATGTTGAACATGATCAGGCACGGTGCAAACGAGGTATTTGCATCGAAAGACAGCGCCATCACGGACGAAGACATAGACACTATACTTCAAAAAGGTGAAGCCAAAACCGAGGAAATGAAACAAAAATTAGAAAGTCTGGGTGAATCTTCTCTGCGTAACTTCACTGTGGACGCACCCACGGATTCCGTCTACCAATTCGAAGGTGAGGATTACCGCGAAAAACAAAAGATTCTTGGAATAGGTAACTGGATAGAGCCACCGAAACGCGAACGTAAAGCCAATTACGCGGTGGATGCTTACTTCAGAGAAGCTCTCCGAGTATCAGAGCCAAAAGCCCCGAAAGCACCTAGACCACCAAAGCAACCGATAGTCCAAGACTTCCAATTCTTCCCGCCACGATTATTTGAATTACTCGACCAAGAGATATATTACTTCCGGCAAACGGTAGGTTATAAAGTTCCAAAAAATCCAGAGCTTGGATCGGATGCTGCCAGGATTCAAAAAGAAGAGCAACGTAAGATAGACGAAGCTCAACCATTAACTGATGAAGAAGTTGCAGAGAAAGAGAAACTGCTTACTCAAGGCTTCACGAACTGGACGAAGAGAGATTTTAATCAATTCATAAAAGCTAATGAAAAATATGGTCGTGATGATATTGAGAACATAGCCAAGGAAGTAGAAGGGAAAACTCCCGAAGAAGTGATGGAGTACTCGGCTGTTTTTTGGGAAAGGTGTCATGAGTTACAAGATATAGATAGGGTAATGGCTCAAATTGAACGAGGAGAAGCAAAAATACAGAGACGAGCCGGGATTAAGAAAGCCTTAGACGCCAAAATGGCAAGGTACCGTGCTCCTTTTCATCAATTGAGGATAGCGTACGGAACTAACAAAGGTAAGAATTACACCGAGGAGGAGGATCGATTCCTCGTGTGTATGTTGCACAAGCTTGGCTTTGACAAGGAAAACGTATATGAGGAGCTTCGTGCCACGGTCAGATCGGCGCCACAATTTCGTTTTGACTGGTTCGTAAAGTCTCGTACAGCTTTAGAACTTCAGCGGCGGTGCAACACGCTAATTACGCTCATAGAGCGCGAGAATCAAGAGCTGGAGGAGCGAGAGAGACAAGAAAGGAGAAAGAAAGGCGGCAGTATCGGTGCAAAACCTGCGTCCAAGCGAAAACAAGAGAACCTACCAGCTCCGCAAGACAAACCGCGGAAGAAGAAGAAATAAAAAACTTAAACGGAGATACGTTTCCAGTTGTCATTTGGAAAAACGAATTTAACCACGATATAATAATCTTTTCATCGTTCATTCTCCATACATTAAAACGATCTGTCATTGTTTAAATTTAAGGAGAACCTGTAAACTTTTTTGCAATTTCGCCACTTTTTCATTCCCTGTGAATCTACATTTCAGTATGATTACGTTTGACTCGCTTTTTCTTAATAACCATCGATAAATATTTGGAGTTAACAGGAGCAAGCAACTAACAAAGTAAAACAGAAAAGCGTTTTGTGGCACATCGAATTTTTCATTTTTTTTTCTTTTTTATAGTGTACGATAGTTTCTGGTGAGAGTATCCAAAATATTAATTTTATATATCCATAACTTTTAAAATAACGCTTTCCGCAGCTTAAAACTAGTTATTTTTAGATTCTACTCATCAAAACCTATCATACATCATGAAAAAAAAGTCAGAAATTCAGTCTATCCCAAAACGAAGTTCAGCCGGAGAAAGTGTTTATTAATATCGTTAATAAACATATTATTGTAATGAATGGATTTTCACATGTGACATTGAGAATGATAGTTTTTATATTTATATGCACCGGATGACCTATTTCGATTCATCTTATGAATGTCAAAGTGGTGCTTGTTTCTGACATTGATGAAATTAACAGAAAGCGAGATTTTTTTATACATATATATATTATAATTATCATAGAAAAATTACATTCACCGACATGTATGTATTGCATATAAATCATATACGTACCTTGATTTAATTTTACATAATTATAATGCAATATTACGTGAACGATTTTATTTATTTGCTATAATTTTAAAAGGCATTGTAATTCGTTTTACGAATAAAATATCATGTGCCGTTTCATATGAAAATCGAAAGTGTTTAGTTGTTGATTATTAATCACCTTATGTAAAATTGAAATGACGATAAGATACGATTAAGATACGATTATGGTGGATTAGGATATGAAGATTATGAACGATAGAAAACATAATCGATTCTATTTTCATGTTTTTGAATATATAATTATATGTATAGAATTTCAGAATTCTTAGTACTGAGTGAAGAAAAGATATTTAGGTTTATATATAATATTAGGTTTATTTATGTTTAAATCAAATGTAATTATGAATAATATAATGTAATCACACATACATACGTATATTAAGTTAAACGGTGAATGTATTATTCTTCGTATAGTTTAGGAAATCGATTATCGAAATGAGATAAATCACAAATTCTCTGTTGAACAATCATCGGTTTTTAAAATATATAGATGAAACATTCAAAAATGATTATAAATACGATTACATTTCAAAAACTTACATTCTCTTCGTGCAACAACTTGAAAAAGGTATTATAACATATATATCAGCGTTGATACCGAAATGCTTAAAAAACAATTTTAAAATTATTATTTTATTTGTTTTCTAGAAGAATTTTTTATATTCTAATTTTCATTAATCCAGTTATTGGATACGATTTACAAGAGAACAAAGCGTTGTTACTTTTAAATGCATGGGAAAGTCGAATTAACCGATAATCGGTAAAATATGCATACAAGAGTCTCGTGGTAAATATAACAACAACAAATTGTTCATTCATTGTGTACATACAATCATTATTCTACTAACTATACTAGTATTTTATAACTATATTCGATGACATATTACTAGAAATTATTGATTTTACAAGGTCATAAAAAGAAGATATTTTACCGAGTATGATAATAATATCGTAATTTAGTGAATAATTTAGTATATATATATATATCAATAAGACAGTTATATATTTTTATAAATGCATACTAATTATTAAAAAATATTGATTAATTATATCATGAATTTATGAAAGTACTATAAGAAACGTAGAAAACATATTTCTATATGACTTTATTTTTCTTAAAGTAAAACCGTAAAATGTACTTTTTAAAATAAAACAAAGTTCTTATTGCTGCATTATATCAATGTTAAGAGAGATAAATTTCAAATAAACTTAACGAAATAAAATGGGACTGTTAATAGAATCTTTTTTTATTTGTTTTTTGGATCACTTTTTAAGGCCCCGGAGTTCTTCATTATCACCACAGAATATATGTAATATTATAATCATATATGTATCTTGAATTTGATGTTATATTTAAAATCTACTCAGACTGAGAGAACTATTTTTCTTTCCGATCATAATGAAATTTCTGTTTAATTAAATGATTTTCCTCAAAAGGCAAATAAAATAATCAAAAACCATAATTGTTTCTTCCTATTATTCTATACCTATGCTTGAATTCATAAAACAAAAGGGATCCTTAAACAAATTTTTTTCATTGTCTTTAATTTTGTAACAATGTAGAATATCATTTGAGTAATAATGCAGCTGATAATTTTTGTTATCCCGTTTTTTTCTAGATGTAAACTTTCCACCATTTTGTATCAATAAAATGCTTCGAAGACAACAAAATAAGCTACAGAATTATTGTTTTAAACAATAATGATCATTTATAAGCAAACAATTTCGTATAAACGTATGAATAAATCCTAATTTTTATATACGATCTTAATTGCACATTCATAATAACAGATTACATGTAATCAATATTGCTAATTAAAAATACTCATATGTTACATTGAAGGGAATACAGCAAAATTCGCAAGAAACTGAAGTGTCCCAGTTTATAGTAATTGCTCATCTTATCCTATTCTTTTTATTTTTGTCACTTTTCTTTATATTTTTTTATTTTTTTCTGTTTTTAATAATTTTTTTAATATATTGCTATCTTATTCTATTACACATACTTTCGGAAATCTTACAGCAACATTGTTCTGTCTGAAATTAATCGGCAGTAGAGTAATATTTAGTTTACAGTGAATATATGTTCATCATTCGGTAATTACAATTATTAGAAATAATATGACTCCTCTGTAGCGTTATTATAAATCACCTATGGCAAGGAGCGGCTCAAGTTTTTTCAATATACTTATATATATATAATAGTAATATATATATATATATATATATAAGTTAAAACTACATATATATGTATATATATAGTTTTCTTCTTCTCTTTTTATTAAAATTATTTTATTAAAATTATCAAATAATTAAAACAAGAGTTTTATAAACAAATACATTAATAAGAAAGACACGCAGTTAATAGAATGAATTAATAAATGTAATAAATAAAATTTAACGACACCAGTGACTCCTTAAACAATGTATCAATGGGTCCAATTAAAAAATATGAAAATGTAAATTTATATTTCTGATCAATTACACTTCTTGTTGTGTCAAATCACGATATACGATCGTCAAAAGTTGGTGTCTCTATGAATTCATTACTAAACTTCGCTTCCTAGTATACATATATTATTGCAAGTAATCACTCGACTTTATTAATATCCTAAGATTTAAAGGATTATATCCATCTACACTTTGAAATTTGCAATAATAGCAATAACAATAGTAATACTGGTAAATTATATGGCGCGGTAAGCAATTTTTTCATCCCGCTTACGTATCTATTACATGTATGTATATATAATATCTGTTTATATATATATAAATATATATCTATGTATAATACATACATATATATGTATATATATTTGTGTGTATGTATATATATACTATATATATATTTCTTCCTACCTAATACATATACTACAATTTATTATCCGAAATCTACAACTTGATTATAATTTTTTTTCTGCGATACCAAGAGATTCAGTACGCACGCAGTATTCACTTGCACGATATTTTTTCTTTTTACAATTAATATTGTATTAAACTTTTGGTGAATTTCGATTATATTTGTAGATAATAATTATAACTATGCATGCTTAGAATAATTATTTATTTGGAATTTTTTCGGTTTTTTCCAAGTAAGTGTGCACATAAAAATTCCTAAACTTTTTTTTGTTATATATCATTTTATTTTTAGTGTTTTTGCAAGAAACCGAACTCCTTGCAAAGACATACCACTTATCATTTTATCGTTCTTACGTACTTTTCATTACATACATAGTACGAGTCTAAGAGAGAGAGAGAGAGAGAGAGAGAGACAGAGACAGAGATTTTACTCAAATTCAGTAACGTTGAGAAACAATCAACTGAACTAATCTTATTACTTAACATTATAAAATATATAATTGTAATATATTCCAAGATATATCAGCACGTATCATAGTCTTAATAATAATAGTTAATATAACAATGATTCAATATTTACTGAAGAGCATAGGACACATAACACGTTTAATAAATAAAATGTGTATATTATTTTAATAGTAAAGGAGTGTATGCGTTTGAAAATAATAAGTAAAATTATCGACATTGTATCGCAGAAATTGAATTATAAGTTTAGTAAACGAACTTATAGTGTAATCATATATTCATAAATGAAATTCTGTAATTACAGCAGATTTAAAATCTAAAAAAACTGTTGAAAAACAACAAAACATTACGAAATTACGTCTTGTATTTTAACATTTACCTATAAGTTCGCTGTCATAAAAGTTTCTCTAAACTAAAAATCATAAATTTATTTTGTGACCATTATATAAAGTTATTTCGGTAAAAAATAAAAGGTTTCAAACGTAAGTTAATTATACGTTAACAGGTACTTAAACTGCGACGTAATAATAATAATTAATAACATTAGCGATGTACCGTTATGGAGAAATTTTCATTAGTCCACACTATGAAAGGCAAGTTAGTTGCGGTTTTTTAAAATGCTCCCAGACTTTTGCGACAGATCACAATGATTATAATATCACGCATAAAAATAATTCTAAAATCAATAAAAGTCATTGTGGATAAAACAAATTCAACTAAAAAAGAGAGGTACAAAATAGATAGTGCTGCAAGTATATAGAAATTCAAGACCCTGTCCGTATTCCTTTATAAGCAAGACAAGAGAATCTAAGCGAAAGCTTTAATTCAAAATCAGATGCCTCCAAGGGGGTGGATCGGGGGGTGGAGGCAAAGGGACTGGTTACGGTCGGCAATGACCTCTTTTTCTACCACCTTCGTTGCCATCCTCCTCTTCACCACCCCTTCTTACTTCAGTGTATCGTTCACCCTTCACACTTACGATCTTATTATCTAAGTAACGTACTAATTTTTTTGGTTCTGTTTTCGGTGCGACTGGACGATGCTCACGTGAGTCGTCGTCTCTATCAACATAACTATACCGTGCAATGATACGTGATTTCAATTCCTCGTCGTTCACTCTGGCCTTGTTACGACCGTTTGGCTGTAGAAGATAATTAAGCTATTTTATATCGTTTAACTCACAATTGATTCATTACTATGAAAATGTACGTACATCTGTATATACATGTATAAATTTAATAACATTTTAAATTAATAGTACAAGTTTCAAACATCATACAAAAAATAAATTATATAATATATTTTATAAAAAGTGCATGCATGTAAAAATAGATACTTACTGTTAGAAAAGTAAGATTACTAACAATACTTTGCCCTGCTTCTTGTCTATGAAGTGCAAGTTGTGCTGCCTTTGCTATATCACCACCAGCAACTGCCAAGCAATGTCTGGCTTCTGCTGGACTTGCAGCTGGGAACATTTCTTGTAAAAGTGCTACTTGATGCCAAGATGATTCCTGATAAATAAGACATTCATGGTTTAAAATAACTAATAGTTACTTCAAAAACAAAGTGGAAGGAACTTACTTCTGAAAAATATTCTCCACTAGAATCACTTCCAGCATCACTAGTTTCTGAGAGATGATGAACTCTCATTCTCTGTGTACCAGGAGGTAACAGAGCTGTTAAACTAATATGACTCAAGGGATCTTGAGGTTGGCAATTTTCATTCCCTTTGCTTTCTTGCCGTAGTTTACTTTCAACATCTAATAACCACTTGGACACTGCTTCTTTTTCAATAGTAGAAAACTCAGGAAGACAAGCAGAAACCATTTCACATAATCCATCAACGTCCAAGTCTTCCTCAAGTGCACTTTCTTCTACCATGCTAACCACATAGCTCAGGACAATGTCATCTATTAAGCTGGAAGAGATATCTTTATAAAATACAAAAACACATTAAATGCAGTTATTATATAAGTTCCACATATACATTTGCTGAATTATAAATAAGTTCCATCACTTTTTCTTTCTTGTTTTTACCTTAATTGGGCAGTTGGTACCTCTTTTCTCACAAAACTAAATAAAGACTTTTTGACCAACTCTTCCTTTTCATCCATTGTACGATTCATCCTAAAAAATTAATAATAATTAATTCAAATAAAAGTCATCACTGAAAGATTTCTATATATTTAATTTGATATTTATAAACTCTAAACTATGTTTCAGTTAAATTTATATTCTTTAAAGTAATCAGTTTATTAACAAAAATTAATATTATACAACCTTAGTAGAACAATATTTATATTCAATAATATTTCTAAAACAATTTAACAAGTGTCTTTACAAAAAGTCAATGATAACATATAATGTTATTGTTAGAAATAATTATATTAAGGCGTAAAAGCTTTATTACGAAACATTTACCCTGGAAAAGCACTTTAAAAATAAGTCTAACTCTTTTACCAGTTTACATAGGAAATAATTATAACAAACTATTAAATATTAATTCACAAATTCTACATTTGCAACATGAACTTTATAAACCAAATTGACTTTATTACACAGTACATCAACCACGTCAAATTCATGCTTAACGTTAAATTTAATTCGCATAGAAATTTCATTTGAGAAATTTCGTTTTCGAAAGCTACTGGTCGTCCAGCTACTGTTAACTTTCCAGTTAGGTTAAGAGAAATAAGGCAAAACCAATTACAGGTAATCCAAAACAAGATTGCATTCAAGAACTGACTTTTCTCGAATGTCTTTATCTCGTGCAAGAAATGAGAATAAAATCATTTTTCGTGGTGCATGAGAAAACAGAAAATGAATAAGTATCGCGAAGAAAAATGAGAAAGGGAGGAGAACAAATTGACAGAAAGGTAGTAGCAGCGCCGGTCACATCCAGCTTTTAGCATTTCCGTTCATCTGCGATGAACGAACAATTTCGTAAGATAACATTGATATATTTCATCATGAAAATAGGCGCGAGTACGAACCTGATCTTATTCACTTGCTCCAAGTGCCCGGATCGTACTTAAGGTTGAAAACTGATAAAAATTTCGTATACAAACAATGTTGCTCGATTTGACAGTCCGGTGGGACGGGTAGAGATAACGTGGCGCCATCACAGTCCGCGACCCACTTCGGGATCAAATCAGCAATCTCAGTGTTGTAATTTTAATATTAAAACAACTCAAAATAGAAACAATTATTCTATAAAATGAAATAATTTTCCACGTGAAATATCGTTTACAATGAATGAAAAAAGTAAATATCTCAAATTATATAGGATTAGCATAAATACAGAAATTCGATTTACATCGGAGCCCTAATATCGACACTGTAACCCTCGAAACTTATTTGTTGCATGAATATTAATCTGTACCTGGTGTATGTATAATAGAATTGTCTTTAGAAATAAATAAGATGAGATGGATTATTTAGCAGATTCAATTATTCAAATGAAATTTATTTTATGAATCATTGATAACTTACAGTTCCATTACTGTTTGAATAAAACAAAAACTTGGAAATTGTGCTTTTTATTAATTGGGAGTATTGAACTTGAATGCTTGAAATTATATAATAACGTCTGTGCGATTAATTATGTTTATATTTTGAAACTCGACAATATTTTTAGCAATAAAATGAGAACAAGGAATTTTTCTATCTATTCAAAGAATGTAACATATTAATATATATATAAAGATGTTAAACATAGAAGGAACTTGTATAGAATTACAGTTCCATTAATATGTAGTTACGATACATAATAATTTTTCGAATTTTCCCAAATAATCGATAAAATGTTTTTCTTTTTTCAATTTTATTTATAATTCTTTATTTTAAAGAAAAGTAATTTGTCATAGAAAAATAGTAAAACTAGTAAATTTTTTAGAATAAAACATACTTAACGCATATTATTTCGCTATGTACTATTATAGCAGTTTATTTATAACACATAACTTCACATGTTATACAATGTACATATACTTTTCAATCATACATGGATCTTTACAACAAACGTAATTTTGCCGCTAGCTTCGATTTAATATATACCATATACGTAGAATGTTATTTTTACATAACGCTTACATACACGTATAATGCTAAAAAGATAATTCTTTTTTCGAAGTAAAATTTACGCAATGATCTTTAGGAACCTACGAGAAAAGGTAGAAATGTAATAAAAAGTATGAAATATCGAGTTATCACTTTATTAATTTTGCAATTTTATTTAATAATAATGAATTTTTACGATTAACGCATGAATGTATTTGATTTTCATTAATGTATTAGTAAATTCAGACATCTTATTCCATACAATGCCTACATACATATTTAAAAGGATATTATTAAAATAAACAGATTTCATACAACATAAATAACAAAAAATATTAACCCGTTGTACTGTTTATCATATTATACTGCAAACGACCATGAAAATTAACAGGTACAACTTTCTTTTCAAGAAGCTATATCCTTTTTATGCTGTTAGCATATTTGTGATTAAAATAGGAATAGGTAATCTCCGAATTTTCATTAATGATTCAATGTGATTTTCATTAGACTCAAATATCATTCGAATTTAAAATAATCGATCAATTTCTACTTGACTAATGAAATCGATCTACGATTTAAAAAAGTATAATATAAAATTTTTTGTTCAACAAATAAATTAAAATTGTTTGACAACGTAGAAGTCATATATCGTATTCGAATCTCTAAAAACTATGCAAGAAAAGTAGTTATAGGTACTCTTGTAAATATGTGTAATTAATTAATAATATTCACTTAAATATCTCTCTCATACTTTCTGGCATAGTTGTTTGTATAGAAATATCAGTTTCGAACAGTGAACTTGAAGAAAATACTCGAAAGGTATACGTAGCCGCTACGATTCATACGGTAAGTGATAAAAATAGTTTTACTTTTTATCGTTTACGTTCTATTTACAATGTCGATGAAATATTTGTCATATTACTCTGAGAACAAACGGTAAAATCTCGATATATGTATAACTTCATGTTGCGTTCCGTCTGATTAAACACAAATAAAGTTAAAATTGCATATATTGCATAATGATTTAATGCGACGATAGATTTCATAAAACACTATCACAAAAATAATATATAGATATATGTATATATACATTATTCTCTCTTGTATTAATTTCGAAGAAAAGAGGAAACCATTGAAATCAATACTTGATTAACAAAATAAAAGTCTCGTGGCAATACTGGATAATTCCAAGAATTTGTTAAAAATCCGAAACGACGATCTTACTCCATTTCCGTCAAACAAACCAAATACTGAATTCAGAACATCTCACTAAACCGGCTTCTTTTCTTTTGAACATTCGACTCCGTCTCCTTCACCGATCTCGAGTTCAACAGAACTATAATCCTCCCTAGATTCTTCTTCTTTGCAATCTTTGTTCGAGGCTGTATCTGTTTCTTCGACTATGTCTTGTTCTTGTTCTAAAAAGTCCGTAGGTACAAATTCCATTTGATCCTCGCTATCGTTTATATCGGGTGGGTCAGGTATCTCGCAGAAATGAATTTCTCTTTCGCCATCGGTAGCCTCGTTGCCACCTGGATCATCTTCCTCGTGTAAACTCATGATTTTGTCAAAATTCGACGGATTTGAACTGTCCTCGTTATTTTCGGAGAACATTTCCGTAGGACTGAGAGGGATATCTAGGGGTTCCAACTTAACCGTAGTAATCTGTGACGGTGTAACAGGTCGTTGTAAGCGTATCTTTGTAAAGGGTTTTGGCTCGATTGGTTCCGAGTGTTGTCGTTTTTGCGCGCGTTTAGGACTAGAAGGCGTAGAAACTCCAGAAGTGGAAGGTTTCTCTTTGGTCTCTGAAGCGCCTCGAGGAACTTGTTGAGATACTACCGGTTTCGATTGCGGAATAAGTAAAGGTGGCTTTGGATTCTGTCAAAAAAAAATATGCTTTGTAAAGACTTGTATCAACGGAATCTTAGATCCATTAAACAATAAAAAAACATCGTTCACCCGTGAAGAAGGATTTGGACCGGCTAATCCTTTTACTTGTAAAGCCTCAGCTGCGTTCAACAATTGTGGCAGTTTATCGTGGGCGACGTTTACTTCTCCGCGGTACATGAATTTGACTAGTGCTTCTACCTCCCAAAATTTAAGATCCTTCATTAAAATGATTGGATGCTGACATGGGTTTTCGCGTAATAGATCAGCGAGATAATCACTGCATGCTGACAGTATCATTTTATGACATTTCAACGAGCGGCCTTCGCAGGCCAGGGTGACATCGACGAACTGTTCAGAATCCAATAAAGATGGGAAACTGTTCTGCATGTTGCTGTGATAACTGTTCCATCTTAAACAAACCTAAAAAAGAAAGATATTAAATATTTAAGTTATTGCTATAGAAACTGATACGTAATAATGTCATTACCTCTGTAGGCTGTTGGTGTACGATATTATGAGGCACTCCCTGATTTATCTGTCGGGGTGGCATTTTAATGGTCGTAGGTGCAACCTGCTTTACTTTTAAGGGTATTGTTTTTAACACAAGAGTCTTTGGTTGTCGTTGTTGCTGTTGCTGTTGTTGCTCTGATATAGGTGCTGGTGCAATATTTCTAATATGAGATCTTACCAAGGACTGCGCTGCTATTCTTATAGTCTTGCCTGTTGAATTGGTCTGAGGTGATTGTAGTACTGTGAAAAACAACTATTATTACTTTCAGTTCATGAATATAACTACTACAGCTTATGAAGATACAAATAGTTCATGTCCATTCATGTTCATTAAAATGATTCTCCAGAAAATATCAACAAGATACATTAAAAATGCATATATTCCCCAGATTGTTCATTACCCAAGTAATAAAAAGTCCTCTGATTACAGAGATCCCAATATTATTCATATAATAAATATAAACCATATTTCAAATCTTATCTTACATAAACTCATACACACTATAGCAATAACCATTAACAGCTTTGATACAATTATCAAATTACATACTATCACTCTCTTAGTATGGAAGTACTAGCAAATGATCGAATCATTCAGAAACCACTCTGATCAACTTCATATATGAAAAAATAGAGAAAAGCGAGTATTACAAGTATTATTTCCCTGAATTCATCTTGGAATTTAGGATTATTTACATCATCTTACTGCAATATAACTGGCTCAGTCAACAATGCACTACTGATTCTGAATACTTGTACTGTTAGATGCTTAGTGAATTGCTGGTCATACTGATGAATTACCGAGATGAATAGAGCTGGAATTAATAGTGGGACCAAATTATGGTATTAAGTATATAAGTATTGTGTGCATTCTCATAAATGTATAAACATCCACAATATAATCATCAGTTCGGCTTCTGAAAGGTTCGACCAACAACTATTACCGTGATAGCGAGTGCCAATGAGTCTGCCACCGTGATGTACCCTGAGATGTCGATGAAGGTTCGTTGTACCACACTGTCGTGGATTTGCCCCGCCTCTAACCACCACTGCCCCACAGATTCGACACAGTGCACGTAGAGGATCGTTAGCACACAGATCAAAATGTGCCCAAACCGCGCTTGGGTTCGTCATAGAACGTAGACTACGTGCATGAGACCGAACACGATGTGCTGCACCTGCATGCCTATTGCTAGACGACGAGGGCGATAGAGACGGCATCTCGACTGCCTCCAGGTAGGAATCCTCCTCGTCCTCGGGTTCCTGCTTCATGGCGACGTCCTCAAGCCGAATGCCCTCCACGATATCCGCGTTGGAAGACGTGATGATCTTCGCGTGGCAATTTCGGTCACGTTGACGCTCCTGCAGGAGACGGCGGGTAGTCAGCTTCACGGTGTCCTTGCAGGCCACCAG